GTGGATTTTTATAAAATTATGTGTATTTAAATTGTAATTACAAACATTTCTTTTAAAGAAATATGAAGATAAATGATTTATCAATGTAGTACCATAAAATATTTCGATATAACTATGACCAACTGGTCCCTCCTCAAAAAATATGATTTATATCTACAAGTTATAAAAATTACCAAAAAATATATGTACGTTTTGTATTATTATTTTATTATGAACTTGTTCGGTTAAAAATAATCTAATAATTGATAACAATCAACCAAAAAAAAATAACAATAAAGGCAAAAGCAATACATTAATCACATATTCATATTTGTAATTGACTCAGAATGATGACCTATTAAAGACAAAATGTTCCTTTTTTTTTGCCACACTCTATATAGATGGCAGAAAGAAATAGTTATTAGTTATTCATGAAGTAATTTAGTAGATAAAATATTAGTTGAAATTATTAAATGATGGATATTTTTTATAAAATATAAAAAATTTGAGGTAATTTTTTAATTGTTTTCAAATTTTTAAATATTAGAACTTAGTTCAAATGCTAACTTTTTCGTATTTGAAAACTTGTGATATTTGATAAATATATTTACAAGTAATAACAAATTATATACTCAAACACTATTTTTAAAATTTTTTCCAAATATATTTAGGACCAAACGGATCTAATAGTCAGCCGTTTATTCTAAATCAATTCAATGTACGTCTTATTCTGTTCATTGGTCAATTTGTGCTGATCTTTATAAACACATATTGTGATTGACACTATTCATCAATTTATATTCCCCTCATATCTTGAAAACCATTGTACTATGACACTATTATTAATATGTTGAGGAGGGGAGAGTTGAAACTTAACAACACCACAAATTAGTAAAGCAATATTCTAAAAAAAATATATACTTTGCATGTTATTTTAAATAAATCAAATCAAATAATAAACAAGAAATATTTTGGTTTTAAAATTATAAGTCAAAAATCATAAATTAGAAATTTTAAATTTTGATTTTTGACTTATTTTTATCATTTTATCTTAATGCCAGAAGTTTATAAACACTTTTTACATTTGTCCAAACATTCCAAAAATATTTAAAAATTATTTTAATTTTAGAATATTTAAAATAAGTTAAACCGAACAGATATTAACAATAACTTTAAAATAACTACTTTCTCTTGAAAAAACATTAGCAAGATAAATGATTAAATGGTGAAATCACCAATATAATTAGAAAATAGAAATAAAAAGATATTCTTAAATGCTACTTATTTTGTGGCTTAATTAAATTTCGAAAATAAAATTATTAGTTATTCTTTCGTTTATTCGTGGAGAGACTCAATTATCTTTTTAAAAAAAACATAATAACATGTCCCTATATCAAACAAGTTTTTATTTAGGTTTCTTGTACTATTATCATTCTTGTTCTAACAATATATTCGATGCACAAATTCAAACCTGATTTTATAATTAAAAATAATAAAAAATTATTCATCTCGTCAAATTCTTTAATGATAAAGCTATATGTATATACATAACATTATTACTAAACATATGTGAATCCGCCTATAGTCAGAGTTGGATCTATACTCACAAATGAGGTTGCACGTGCTTTTGTTAATTTCAAAAAAAATTGTGTATATATGTATTCATTCTAAGGTTTAAATGAACTAAAGTCCTTTTTTACTATTTTTATTTTAAACTTAGCTAGATAATATTAATGCACATAAAATTTATAAGTATAAATAAATAATATTGATGCACTCAAAATTTCAAATGTTAAATTTACCTCCTCTTATTTTATTATAAGAACAAGTGAGAAAAGAGTGACAAGCCACTAATCTTAATTTTTAAAAAAGGTGAACCACCCTCAATACTTATAAAGAAAAGGATTGAGGCAGATTGGTGGGATATTGAAAAAAGCAAAAGTTTGGAGATCTACTTTTTAGCTTTGCTTGCAAAAGTTCTAGTTTTGCATGTGCGCCATAATGCCTCTATTTTGACTTCTATCATCCCCTTTTCATAACCACTATCTATTTCAAAATTATAATTTCAACATTTTGTATTTATGATGAAAATTTTTAAGTATAATTTAAGTTCTGTATCAAAATATGAAATTCATATTTGTATTCGGTAAACAAGTGGTCTGAACACGTGTTAACAATTTTGATGGTGTAAAAAATTATAACAAAAAGTTTCTATAAATAACACGATAAATGATTTTAAAAAAAAAGTAAAATCAGTAAGATTTTGAGCACACGAGTATTAACTTATTCCAAGCATATGAAATTAATGGGCTAAAATAATTTCTTGAATTATGGGTGCCCACAATATGCTATTTAGTCCATTTTACTTGTATATACACTATTTTTTCGATAAAGAGTGTCCAATTGGATACCTTGATCACCATATAGGAAACAATTTTGTAACCAAGAGAAGGAGAGTTCGTGAACTAATCGAGCATGTGAAGAAAGTTAAGTTTATATCTCAAGAACATTGACCAAAACGACAGATATATTAGATCTTATAATACAAATAGTTAAAGTATGATAGAGGAATATTGATTGTCACCACTAACGACATTTTCTCGTGGACAACTTCCATTATGTATTGTACTTTAGAGTTTGAGCAAAGTTTTATTATTGACTTATGCTTTATTTTTTTAATCTATAAATAATTTTTTTGATACACTTGTTGATCATTTGTATCCCAACAAATACAAATATACAATAATAACACTTTTAGATTCTTATGCTCCAAATTTTCCTTGTTCATCAAAGTCTCTGTCTTACATTTGTTTGCTTTATTAGTATAACTTTGTTTTTATTATCTATTAAAATTGCAATATTCAATTTTTTATGATTAAACCTTAATTACGAATTACGTTAAGACTTTATATAAATTTAACTGTATCGTTTTACTGACAAACAATATTTATATTAGTTTTGTGTAGGAGTAGACCACACTATCTTTCATGCTTCTCTTGTTGTTGGGCATAAACAAGACAAACCTTAACAGCTACAAATATCACCTACCTTGTGAACATATAATCTAATTAATAACACTGTTATTATAGGCAATAATTGATTGACAATCTTCTCTTGGAACAGTTCAATGTAACCTAATCACTTATCTTAAATCCTTAACAATTTAATAATATGCTTGCTTAGTAATTAAAAATTTACCCATGTTGGTGGCTATATATGATTTCTTTTTCCTTTTGGTATTCCATTCGATGTTCGACTAAATTTAAATTGCATATCGTAGGATTAATTTTAAGATGATGCTTCCAACAAGATTAGCTTCATACCCATAATTCAAATATGAGATTTGAATTATCTGACGAAGATTAGCTTCATACCCATAATTCAAATATGAGATTTGAATTATCTGACGAAGAATGGAGAAATTCCATAATTACACCAGAATTCATGTTGTTTTGATATATATATATATATTTCATGTCAAACGAACACATGGCTTCTGTTAAAACTAATATATATTTCACCAATCATATTTTCTTATAACAATGTGTGTTAGGTACAAAAGAAAATGTGTTTCATAAAAAAATGTTTTTTCCAATAAGTGTTTTCCTAGAAAATAAATTGTTATTTTTTAAATATATTTTTAATCAACATATATAATATATTATCCTATGAATATTTATATACTCGTACAAACAGAAAGAGAGTGAAAGTGAGGTGAATAGAGGTGTTGGGGTTGGTTGATGAACCTCAATATTTAATTATATTTGGTGTCTAATACACATATTATAATGATATAATTAAAATTAAATTTATGTATTGCAGAATCTGTTTCTCAATTTGATACTTTCAACATAATATTATTCCATTTTCAAAAGATGAATTCAAAAATTTCTAAATTAGAAATTAAGAAATTTTAATCATGTATTGTAATGTCTTTATAAATTTGTGTTTGATCATACTTGGTGTACTCCTTTAAGGACTCAATTTTCCACACCTACTCATCCCCTATAAATTCTAAAGAGAGACAACATCATAAAATATGGTCTACTTTGTTATCAAAGATCTTTACTGCCTTTGAAAGATGTCACTTTTGGACTTCCACATCTCTTCTTTCTTGATGGAATAAAAAGTTGTTAAAATATGACATTTTGGCATTCTAGCTTTTTAAATCATTTCCAAACAGTGACATTATATCAACATTAAATTAATTATAATAACCTAATTTATACAGTAATACCCAAATGTAACATCTCGAAAAAAGTGAATAAAAGAAATCATTTTTCTTCAATCTAAAGATACATATTCTTATCACCATCATTACACCTCGTGAGGAAGCCACTTTATTTGTAAGGAACTTATAATCATCTTCAAATGGATCTTAATTAGGTCATGTTCTCTTAATCATTTGATTTAAGAGTTAATTTCCATATCAAGGTTTGTTTCCTCTGAAAGTAACCTAACCTCATGGATAATAATATGCTCTAAATCTAATCATAGGGCTAACACTAGATTTGGAACTACTCTTTTGAAATCAAAGAGTTTCATAGACTAGCCTACTACATGATATTGTTAGTGAGGTGGGTCTAAAACGAGTTCTGCAAGTTCAAGAACCCACATTACTTTCAACTCAAAATACGTAAATCAAAATTTGCACATATAGTAAAATTATACTTATTTTGAATTTACTGAGTCTAATTCTAGATCTGCCTCTTGTTATCAATTTTTATGCCCTTCACTACTATTCCAATTAGCCTTTCTCGTTTTTTATAAAAAAAATTCTTACTTGACTTCCGATAGCTCTACTAATTCATATATCCACTTTGGTAGTAGAACGCCTATCAATAACGACTTCATATCCAAAACTTGAACTTGAAATTATCATTTGATCAAGAATGAAGGAATACTTAGTGCTCACTGTGAGCCTTTATGTTAGTTAGTAAAGCCATAGTTGTAATCCATTAATGAAGAAGAAAATAAGGCAAAGTAAGTCTAAAATATGATACAAAGATGGAGTGAAAAACTAGTACAAGAAGACAAAAAAGTAATCACTCAAATTTTGAAGTGTTTAACATTGATGATGCTCTAATGAAATGTTACATGATCATATAAGTAAGCCCCTAGCAATAGCTTGATTCATTTTAAAACTAGTAGTTCCATAGACAGGTAAACCATCTCTATTTGCATGAACATGACCAATCATGCTTATGTTTTCAAGTTCAAAAAGATCAGAACTTGCACAACTCCTACCATCATCTTCATCTTCGTCTTGGTAAAATCCTCTGTATTGATGCTTTGGTTCTTCATTCCTGTATATGCTTTTGTGACCACATGGTTGACTATCTTCATCAACAATTACAGTAACAGGGCAAAATCTCACTGATCTTTTCGATTTATTACTTATCGAAGTCGAGGAAGGGGTTTTGTTTAAGCAAGATGATGTTGTCATAGTAGTTGAATCATTCACTGATCTTGATTTCCTGACTGAACTCCAGTCCTCTTGATGGTTTTTCTTGATGTTTTTCGAATTGAATATCGAATTTAGAAAGTTTGCTATTTTCCCACCTGGTGAAATAGGTTGTTTCACCATCTTCAAGGCTCTTGATTTTGTCCTCATGAACCTTCCTCCTCCTTCACATTTTGGAGTTTTAGTCTCTGTAGAGAATGTAACAACCCTGTCTGGTCTTCGGACTTGTGTTGTTGTTTTTGGCAATGTATTGATGGATCTTGACTCTGTTTCTGAAGATGAAAACATGCTTGACTCTGCTGATGAAGATGAATCTGAACTGAAGTGTCCTGAACTTTGACTATATTTGTAACTTTCCATCCATTTCTCAATCAATATTGCACGTCGAAGGCTTACAATTTCTTCTTCCTTGTTGTTGCTCTTTCTATTTGGGACTTGTTGATGTTTTTCTTCTTCTTCTTTGGATTCGTCAATTGAATGATAAATAGATTCCAATAAAGAGGAAGAAAACGATGGCGTCTTACGCCTTTGTTGAACTCGTATTATTGGCTTTTCCCAAGAAGACATTTTCTTTTCGTTTTTCTCTCTTCTCTGAGAAAGAGCCAAAATGTGGTGAGGGGAAATGGGGACTTGTTGGTTGATGCAACTGACTACCAAGTAAGGCGATGCATTTATATAAATAAAAATTAGGGAATCTGATAAGCACTTATTCATTCTTAATTACAGGTTAGCGTTTTACATTTGGATTTAGTCAAGTAATTATTTTTTTAATCCTTTCCTTAAATATAGAGGCATCTTTATTAGAAAACATTTTATTTAATATAAGACTTTTCGATGTAAATTTGAATTTAATAAAGCAATATTGATAGATACCAAACAAAAACAACCGGCCAAAAAGAAAGTAAGTTGAGGGCGCGCGTGCGTGTGATTCTGCCAGAATGGCTAAGCAAATGCTGTTCAGTTTTCTTTTTATTACTGTCACTGTCTACATCTGCCTATTATTATTATTTACATAAACTGCAAGAAGAGTTGATTACTTAATATTCAAGTACTTGTTTGTCTAGAGACTTATTATTACTATTATTTGAGAAGCACTTGTATCTCCTACTAGGTGTAGGGGTGGAATATAAATGAGCATAGTACACTACTTCCACCAGCAGTATCATGACATACCACACGTTTTGTTTTCACCAATTATATTAGAAATGAATAAAGTAGTAGATATAATGTAAAAAAAATACACTTGGTTGAACTACAAGTCATGTTTGACATGTTACGCTCAGTGTTATTAAAGGCGAAACACAAATTTGTGGAGGCTTTTAGGCACAAATAAAGCTTTAACAGAAAAAGACGCAAAGAGAGAAAAGAACAAAATATATATATATATTTAATCCAAGACTAATAATTATAAACATGAATGAAAAATATATGATCAAAAAAATTGAAAAAAAATCATAATAAAGTAAAATATGAGTTATTTTACTTCACTTCTTCATAAGAGGCTCATTGGCAAGGAAATATTTGTCTTAGAACTTTGATGAAGACAGTAAAGTGCACATAAAGCGAAGCAAAACACTCAACACGTTTTGAACCTCACTTCAGGGTTTAAGCACACCTTTGATAACACTGATTGCAATACACCCGCAAGGAGGAAAAGCCAAAAAGGGTAGAGAGGGATTGTTGATGATAGACTAATTTATGATACTATAGAGTTATACGCATCATTCATTTAGATATTTTTATTAATGACCTTTGTTCCTATTAGACACTTCACAAAATGACAATCAATTTAAAACATATTTTACTTTAAAAATTGATTTAAAAATATGTTCTACCGTCCCCACCGTCTTCCCACTCATCCGCCTCTTTTTTCTTACAGTTTCAAATGCTAGAAAACTTGGAACGTACTAGTTCCAGTTGAGATGTATACATTAATTATGTGAAAACGCCAAATTTCAACTAAACCAACCAAAAAGAAACTAGAAAGCATGGTATGTTTCTTGGGAAAAAGGTAGAGAAGTGGGTCCATGCTCACCCTAATAACAAAGCAGTGCACCAACTAACGCAATACGGAATTTTTCAATGTTCAAAAGAAATGAAATCAAAAACAAAAAGAGCCTTTATTGCAGTTTCACACACATCACAATGGTGCATCAGTCCAGGCGAAATTTGGACTTGGGAAAAATGAGCCATATAATTGAGCAGAGATCAATGTAAGCACAAATACGCAATTGTCACGTTTTAGCCTTTCAATAGACCACTCTTTTATCACTGATCAATTCTAGATTATTCCATCCCCATGCAATATAGAATGCACCTCATTTGGCTCCTTTGCATGTCAATCTTTCAACATCAACTAACTGGTACAAATCTCCCCGCCTTTGTTTTTGAAATGGAAGGTATGTTCTGCACATCGAAATAGGACTTTGAGCATATAAATGGCCCAGAAGAAGATTAACCATAACTTAGAAATGAGCTCTAAACATGATCGAAGGGTTGTGACTGAGAACTGTTTATATTGCTCCTCCATCATCCAAGAGAAGGAGGAAGGACACATTAACCATAAAATAAATCATTTTAGATAACAAATATTCAAATAAAATGCAGCAAACCAAATCACAAACAACTGAACATATACATACAATGTGAATACATATTCAATCTAAAACTAAGCTATAGGAGGAACTCACCTTCTCTGCTCAATTACTGAATAGTCAATCTCTGCTACTAGTGTAGTCTCCTCATGTTCTGTTGTCATAAGCACTTCTCCAAACTGCAAGATTGAGTTTCTTTAGATTCCTTTTTTTGGGGTCTGTGGGTTAAGCATAAGATATTACGCGACACTTGAAGTCACTTCTACAAAACATGAATGTTTCCAATATTTCTTTTCCACCATTAATCAGCTCGTTAATAAATGGTTTGAGATCCTTCTTGTTTCTTATTTAAAGTGACGCGAGGAACATGTTAACTAAAAGATCTTTGTAACAAGCCACATCAGACATTAAAATACTTACCGGTCCAACAAGAGTAGAGTGTCCCCAAGCTACATAACTAGAACCACCATCTCTGGCAGGAGAACAAGTTGCTACATACAACTGACAGGAATATGTGCAAATAGATAAGATAGATATTCAGAGTAGTAAATACAATCAGCGAGGCGCTAGCCATGAGATCCAGAAGAAAATTGTGCTCAATTCAGAAATTTAAGTTTTGTACGGACAGTAATAAAAGTGCTACATTTAAATTGATACTAAGAAGAAGTAGAGTAATACTATTATACATTGATATGATATACATGATTCCTAGTGTCCACTATACATGAAAAGAGAAGAGGAAAAAGATAAAGCAATTTGACATCAAAGAAGCACCGCTTAGGCTCATCTAACAAGGCAAGTAACTGATCTTCACTTTTGGAAAACTAACATAATGGAAAGGAAAATACAGTAACACACAAGAGTATAATGGAGCATATAGGTATCAGTGTTGTACCTGGCAATCAGCAGCCCTGCAGGACAAGTAACATAGATGTTACTAGTTATTCTTTATGTGCATGTATAGTCAATAAATTATACAGACTTCATTAAAGCTTGACTGCAATGTATAGGAACGAAAATGTAAGCAAACAAGTCTTCTAGGATGAAAGTTAAGAGTGTCTCCGAATTTCAATACATCAAGAAGGAGCCAAAGTTTTTTAATAGGACTAGTCCCTCCCTCCGACCCAAATTCAATAAATTTATCTTGCCCTTATAGAGATGAGTAATTTCCAACCTGAAACCTAAGTATATTAGTCAGTATTTCAAAAGTAAAATAAAGGAGTGACAAACTATAAAAGAAAAAGTAGCACAATTTTTGGCATCTAAAAAGTATTAAAGAAACATAAAAGACAATGGGATGAAGAATAAAACTAGTAAATCCTAACATAAACTCATACAAACTTGCAAATCAATATACATCCATCAATTTCCACAGCCTAGTCTAGTACAAAATCACTATAGCATGTGCTGTAAATGTTCTCCATGATATCAAGTAGATCACATGGTCAGCAATAACCATCAGTAACAATTTGTTGAAAGGTGTGAAGTACACTCTTAAATCACAAGACACCCTTGATTTTTCCACTATTGGGGGAATCAAGAAAAAGTGGTTTATAAGTATGACTTCGTGATTTGATTAATTTTCTCTTCACTAAGACATATAAACAAACAAACAATAAAGAATGTGAAATGATGAATGTCCCGCTTGGATTTCATTTCTCTAGAATTTCAGCTGGTACTTACATATTTGGTATCTAAACAGAATCACTGGGTATGTTGTTGTTGGTTCCTAAACAGAATCCTAGAAACTAAGATGATTCTCAATATTTGACAATTCCTCTTGTGGTTAAGAAGGCTTTACCATCAAAAGAAAAGATCATAAAGATAGCCCCCTATGGTATTTTGTAACAAATAGTAACACACTAGCACAGGTTATAAGGACTCAGCGTTTATTACATGATAGAATAAACCAACACATAGTCACTTGTGTAGTACTGTAGTACTAAACTCATCACTACCTCGCCCGTTGCAACAATTCCCAATGCAGCGGACCGGTGGTCATGTTAAAGGCACCAGGATAACAAAGCAGATGAGCACCTAACATGCAGGAAAAAACAGTAGTTAATTGAAAGTAGCTCATCACGACAGGTTAAATCAGACATAAAATAGCCTATGTGGTCATGTTAAAGGCACCAGAACCACGAAGCAGATGAGCACCTAACATAAAGGAAAAAGCAGTAGTTAATTGAAGAGTTTGGAACCTAAATAAGCCACAAAAAGATAAAAGTGACCAAAATAAGCCACTATTTTAGAAAGTAACTAACATAGGCTTAGTGGAAGAAAAAATTTCACTTAATCCAATATTCTAAATGTTCTCCGTAGTCCCATAACGTGTATATTTTAATATATAACGGAACTATTTCTTACACCTTGTAAAATGAAAGTATTTCTTACACTTTGTAAAGTGTAAGTTTTTCTTACACTTTATAAAGTGAAACTTTTTCTTAACACTATAAAGCGGAAGAAAAAATTATGTTTTTACAAAGAGAAATATTTTTCACGTTTTGAAGCTTTTGCAGTGTTTTTCATACAATTATATTGATTTGACATATTATAAAAACAGAAAACATTATTACATTATGCATTTTTATTTTTTAATTCTGGAAACTCCTCCAAGCTCTATTTAAAGATATTCAAAGATAGCACCTTCAACATTTTTAGTCTTCTATCTTTTTTCATTTCAATCACAAAAAAATGTCTACCCCAAAAGTTAGAGTTTTGATTTATTGGGATGTTGAAATTATACAAGAGAGAAATGTCATTTATTATAATTGTCCTCCCAAACACAATGCTAAATATTCAATTAATGTTCAATATCATAAATTTCTTTCATCAATTTATAAAAGAATGGGGTATAAATAGTAGTGATTATAATTATTATAGTCGAAAAATACCCTACTTCATTTTTATCACAAGGACAAGTAAATTTTGGAGAGTGGATTATTTATAATGACGATCGTTGACCGACTTTTTGAGGGTTCCAAATGACTACATAGATCAAATCAAGTTAACAATACTTGAAATCTATGTTAGAAAGTATCCTAAGACTAGCCAACAACGCTCTCCTTTATCGGTCGATGTCCATCCCCGATTAGAAAAATCGTAATAGCGTTGATGAATTTACGATAACTCAATCTACTGATTTTTCTAACATGACTCATTATCAAAATATTCTTACCAGACGATATGATTTTGATTTGAATGAAACTATCAATGAAAGTGACTAGTAATGCTCAATAATTATATTTCGATTATAATTTGTCGATTTTATCTATTATCTATTGATTTATATGATTTATTATTTTTATTTTATTATATATTTTGTAGCGGATTTACCTCACCAAGATAGGAATATTGCTCCAAGTTATGGACTAGATACTTATTTTGGTCAATTCTCACACTTTGATAATATTATATAGGCGAAATGGTCTAATGGACCCTTATACTTGTATTAGTTTGTATTCTGGACCATACTACTTAATCTTTTGCTAATTAAACCCTTAGACTCAATTAAAACAAGACTTTTAAGGCCCTCCAACCATGTGTCTAACTCACTCTTCTTTACATAAATGACATGTCATATTCACGTCAGATATATTAATGTCATGTCATAAATATTTCATAACTATTTTTTAAAAATTATTAATCAAAATTATTTAATAAAAGGTAAAATAATAAAATTTTAATTTATACTTTAGAGTAATATTGCACCATTTTTTGTTCAACTTTTTCGTCAACTTCATTACTCCGATTTCATGTTTTGCATTTTCATATGTTTTTATGTGTTTTGTTTGATTTATTGATGTGTTTCTTTAATGAGAGGAAACAGTGGTGAAGATCTTTGTGAGCTATAATGGACAAAATGAGCCAATTTCCCCATTTCACGACCAAAATCTGTGGAGACAACCATCACTACCTTCGTCACCATTTTTGCCAACGAAATTTATACACTCTTTCCCTCACCTATCTAATCTCCACCGCACATCATCACCATTTTCTTTTCCTCCTCCAACCTCCACAAAGTCAACAGCCTAACACCAGAAAAACCTTTTAATTCGCTGCCATGACCTCGCACCCTCACCCACCTCATTCTCCTCTACATTGACCAGTGTCGCTTCTCTCTCTTACTCTACTATGAAACAATGGTCACCGGTGTGCACCACCAACACCGCTTCTCTCTCTCACTCCACAGCGATTTAGTTCTCCGATGAGTACCACGAACGCTCTTTCTCTCTCCGCGGTGAATTCGCCTCTCATGGCGACGTCCAAGTCACCATCCTCACTACCCACCACAATGCCTCCCTCTTCTGATCTTCTATTAACAATGACGACGTATGGGAAAACTATTCCGTAATTTCTATAGAGACACTTAGTTTCCCATCAACTGAAGTTGGGTTGCTTGAAGGAATCGAGAACTTCAGTTCTGCCTCTTCACTTGAAATCGGGGGCAAAATATTTTGCGGCATTTATCTTCTACAGAAACCACTGGAAGATAAAATTCGTGAAATCCATCCTGATTGTATCTTCTGTGATATGTATTTCACATAGACTATCGATATTGCACTGGAGCTTAACATCCCAGGTTATTGTTCAACCAATCCAGCTACATGTACAATTCTATTTTATACCCAGGATCTGGTAAATTGATATTAATATATTCTGAAGAAGGAAAAAGGTTGGGTTTGGGATAAAAATGGCTGAACAACATTCTGAAGAAGGAAAAAAATAGGTTGGATTTGAGATGAAAATGGTGGGTGAAGAAGAAAGGAATTTTTAATTAATTGTCTTTTAAAAAATTATTTCTTTTATAATTTTAACTTTTTTTAACCCAAAAATGTCATTCACTCGCCTTAAGAGTGTGTACTTAAACACTTTTGCCAACTCAGACATTCTAATGCCACATAAGCCTGGTAGATTGTCAGAGCGATTTGTTAAATTGATTTCTATTGAGTTTAAGGGCTCAATTGTCAAATGATTACGTAGGAGGGTCCATAATACAAACCGGTACAAGTATAAGGGTTCACCAGACCATTTTACCTATTATATATATAGCACATGTTGAAGATGCTATGTTTAAATGTCCTTAAATAGAGCTTGGAGGAATTTTCAGGATTAAAAATAAAATACATAATGTAATAAATTTTCTATTTTTATGATATGTCAAATCAATATAATTGTATGAAAAACACTGCAAAAGCTTCATAAAGCTTCAAAACGTGAACATTTCTCTTTGTAAAACATAATTTTCTCTTCCACTTTATAAAGTTTAAGAAAAAGTTTCACTTTACAAAGTGTACAGAAAAATTTACATTTTATAAAGTGTAATAAATACTTCCGTTATATATTAAAATGTGTGTTATGAGACTAACGGAAAATGTTTAGAATATTGGATAAAGTGGAGTTTTTTCTTCCACTAAGCCTATTTTAGTTACTTCCTACAATAATGGCTTATTTTGGCCACTTTTATCTTTTTGTGGCTTACTTAGGTTCCGGACTCTTAATTGAAAGTAGCTCATAACCGCATGTTAAATCATACATAAAATAGCCTATTTACTTCCATTTGCAAAATCTAGATGAGACGGAATACAATTCGTCTGCATCACGAATAAATTGTGTGCATGGTAAGTCCATTTATGAGGTAGAGAATATGAAAAGCCACATTCTGCATAGTATTTTCTGTCTTTAACTTGCCAAAGCTTCCATATCCGATTACAAAACTTACAATCTTCCAATATCTCAGAAGTGAAGAATTCAACTTGGTGGTCTCGAAAAGCTCAGAAGAAAAGGAGAAGGCTGAAAGGGTAGGTCTTCTGGATGAACATTACATAACTGAGAGAGTAACTACCATGCACATAGAGAAGATATGGAAGTTAAAAATATTTATAGTAGACAAATAGAGAAGTAAACCTCTTGCAGCATAGATAGCCGCCAGTTCTTGGAAGCGAATATCATAGCATATACCAATACCAATGCGTCCAACCTCTGCATATGGAATCCACTAGTTACTTACAGTAGCTCCTCTACTGAATGGCTGCAAGTACTTCGGTATAAGATTATAGAAATCTTAAGTACATCTTCATCAACTAATTTCAGGAGAAAAGAAAATGTTGGCAATATGCTGTGCATCTTTCCAAGTAAATAGATACAGCTAAAAAGATATCTTCAAATTTCAAAAGGCGGATACCAGTAAAATATGATAAAATAGCATAGGCTCGTTACTTTTATTTTTTTGATCAAGTACATAATATGTTGGTTACTAGATTGAGACTCACCATCAGACTTGGAAAAAAAAAGATTGCAACTTTCCTCCTACGTCAGAATACCTCAAACTTTATATTTGAACAAGTCAAACAAGGACATAATGAATTTGTCGCCACAAATTTTATATAGCATGACAATGTACATCTTAAATCAGTATAAAGCTTGTCAAACCTGTGTCTACAATAGTAGGTCTCTCTCCAGCTGTTAGGGTCCTTGATTCTTTAAAAGTCATCTTTCCTGGAATGTCAATGTCAAAGAGATGTATCTGCAAAAGCATTGTTTTCAAACTGAATAAGTTAAGGCACAAAGCTTAAGAATCCCAAACATGCAATTAAATAAATTTATGATAAATAGTAGGATACAATGAACATAGTTGGTCTGCAAACCCATGTCATAAATATTATTTTTTCTTAAGAGTATTTTTCTTATAACTCTTTCCAAATGAGAAAGAAATATGCAGACCTTCCTATGCTTGGCCAAAAGCTTTCCATCTTTGCCAAAAACACAACAACTGTTATATAATTTGTCACCGCTGCGTTCAGGTATAGAGCCACCAATAATTGTAATCTTTCGACTCCGAGAAACTTCAGATAACATTCTAGTTGAAGGAGATGCATCTCCGCCAGCATCAATGTCCTCTGCATATACTGGAAAACTATCATTGGAATATGGACTATTCCATATTTCCTGTCATAGCAGGAAGCAATTGAGTTAATTTAAGCCTCACTTAAAAACAAGAAGCGAAGAGTAAAAAGAGATACTAATGGAAGCAAGCTAGTGAATGTAAGCAAAATTAAGACAGAATGCAAGCATCGCATCGCGAGTTAGACGATGTCAAAGAAACATCATAGAACTCTCTCAGTGACTCAAATACAAAGGGATGCATCCAAGTTCATCTAAAATAACCAACAAAACACAGGACAATCGACAATTAAGAATTTATACACATTCAGCAAGTAAATTAATAATTTAGTTCAGACATGAATTATAGGCCCATTTTCTAATGTAAGGACAAAGAACAAAGAAATAGTAAATGTAGAAAAGTTTAATGATGGAGACAGATTCTATTTCTGATGCTTTCATATTTTTTTTGAGAAAGGTAACATTTACTTCTATATATCCACAGGTATACTACATCAAAGTGTAGTTCCCCACCAAAAATGTGTACTTACATCAGCCTTAATATCTTCTAGTTACAGCCAGTCAATAACATTAAAAACATCTTCAGAATTTTCTATTACTACTTGCTTACACCAAAAATAATAAAGACCTAGGCAGTTTATCTTTATCTTCTGAATATTGTTGTTCTTTCCTTCAAAACATCTTTGATTCCTTTAATTCCAAATTGTCCACCAGATGCATGCTGGGACAATCCTCCATCTCTCCTCCTCTTTTTCTGCATTTCCATCATTGTTTTAGCATTTTAGAACTTGTGTGATTCTCCCTGGTTTTGTCCACTTGATCTTCCTTTTGTGAATGAACATCTGCCATAATTGATCTATCCATTTGCAGTGTAAAAAGAGATGGTTTACTGTCTCCACCTGTTAAATAGACCTCTAGCTGCCCCCACTTCCCACCAAGTATCTTCCCTTTCAACTCTGTCATTTGGGGCGTAAACTCCTGTTAGGTGCCATTTAAAATCCTGGTTTTTGCCATAGAAACAACATGAAACTGAGTATGCTCCCATACTACTTACTTCCCCTTTCCATATTCTTTTATCCCACATAATTAGTATGCCTCCCCTGGTCCCACTAGCTTCTAGTTGCACATAAACTTCCCATCTACTATCCCAAATTTCTTTAACTATGTTTGCAATTCCCGTCTCCAGTTTTGTCTCTTGAAAACACACAACATCTGCTTTCCAGATTCTTGACATATTCCTGATCATACACCTTTTCTTCCCACAATGCAGTCTCCTCACGTTCCAGGAAACAATGTTTAAATTCATTGATTCATGATGGAAAAATATCCCCCTTTACTTCTAGAGCCATTGCTGTGAAACTTAGAATCTAGTTGCAGGTTTTTTAGTTCCAATTGCCCTTTCTTCTTGCATGTTGGTTGTTCACTCTGTTTCCCCTTTCTCGCTTATTAGTGTCAATTTTCATCAATAATTCCTTTGCCCTCTCCTCACATCCTCACCCCAAATTTCGAGCACAATTTGATTATATTTCGTTGTATCCATTCTGAGGTGCTCAGTGTGTTGTAGTCTTCCTCTGGGAATTGGATGCCCAGTGGGATAACATCCTCGGCTCCTCCATTTGTATTCTCCTCTGCCAATGCTTATACCATTATCGCTGTACTTTTCTCTCCCAGTTCTTCCTTATTTTTTCCAGTCATGTCTACCATATGTCTTGCAACTTCCAATTCCCTTTCGTCCCTATTCATGATCTTATCTAATTTTGAGCTTTATTTTCCTTCCTTTGATTCGCTGTTATCTCAATGTTAAAAATGTCTTCTGAATGGATTTGTAAAGCTTGGGCTCTAGCCTTTTCTCAAGCAATTGGGTCCAAAAGAATTGGGGCCAAATTTGGGCCCAGTTTCCTTTGACCTTTTTTTTTGTCTGTTATAACCATTATATTCTCCCCTTTTAAATCTGCCACTCGCATGAGAGACCTCTCACTGGAAGACCCCACGTGCCCATCCACCTTTTTAGTTGCTATTACCTCTTTTGTTATCTGCAAAAGCTGATCTTGGTTATTGACTGCTGAGTATTTTCATTCTCCTCTCTCCTCTTCTCTGAGAATTTCACGATGACTGGAGCTTCACACCACACCGAAATGGTGTAAGTGAAATCATAGCAGATTATTTTTACTTCTCTGGGAATCCGTTCGCCGTCACCTTGTACTTTTATTCTAGCCCAATGAAGATGATTTTTGAGAGAGGTCTCCTTCTCCGTCTCGATATAGCCTCCACATAGGTTACCGATCTCTTTGAAAACCTTCTGCGACCATCCATACCCAATCTCTCCTTACCTCTGCCGGCCAGCAGCCAGTTGTTGGTTTCCACCATTCAAAATCTAACTTCATCTTCTTCTAGGCACATTGGCCTGTTATGACATGCTCTGCTGCTAGTCTTGACGGTAGTTCAAACATAAAATGGCCATCGTTCATGGCATACACTTTGACTTTTATCTCCAACTTCCAAGAGTTACAGGCCCATCTTCTAACATCGTTCAAGTTAGGGTTTTCATTTGTTTGGCATTGGAATTTCCCTACTAAGCATCTGTTCAAGAGGTCCTTTTCTGATTGCGATTTGCCTCCTGTGATTCTTACTCTGTTTATTGTGCTTAGTATATCTTCCTTCTATGTTGCCTCCGTCACCCATCTGTCACGGAAGAGAACTTCTTTGTAGGACCTGTGGAATTGTTTGTTGTCATTTACTGTTAACCCCTGTGTTTCTTTTGGTTCATAAATAAACCCAGCAATCCTGTGAGCTATATTTCGCAGACCTCCTTTGAATGTAGATTCTGGAGTAATTATGACTGATTTTTTTTGACCTTGTAATGCTATAAAACTGATGTATCTCCCGCTACTATTGTATTTGAGAGTGCAGTAGAAGTCTGCAAAGTGGTCCTTCATGTTCCACCTCTTAACTGTCCTCCCCTGCACTTTGGACGCTTCAATAAATACTGTAACTAACCATTTCAATACTTTAATGCTAATTTCCACTCTTCTCATCCAACGTCGGCTGCGTTTTGCCCATACAAACCAACTCCCAACTTTGTCTTTACATCTCGTAATGTCGTAGGACTTGAAACCTACGTTGTAAAAGATGTTATCTTCCCCCTATTGGATGTGTTCCAGCGAGCTTGATCCACTTATCTGAAACCTAAAGGTAAAAAACTTTAAACTAAAAGTTGACAAGACTTGATATATGTGCCTGAGAGCATTCTAAACCTTTTGATTTTTTATATCAATCTGCTTTCATATTTTGAAATGCCTAAACCCATAATTTAGTTCAGACAAATTATAGGCCCATTATTCGTGGAATTCTAATACCAATTAACTCAGTCTCTCATAAACCACGTACGTCACAGTGATGAATCTTGGTAAATAACAGATAAAATGTATATACCCTATTATAACAAAATTTGTCTCCACCTTTATGGAGTCCAGAGAGACGATTGCATTGAAAAAATTCAGCCATAATTTTCAGAAAATAAAAGGATCTTACAGGGAGAAGAATAAGTTGAGCACCCTTGTCTGCAGCATCTTCTATTGCCCTCTGAGCATGAACAATATTTCTCTCCTTGTCGGTAGTTACAGATAACTGGCAAAGAGCAATCTTGAACTGATGCACAAAAAAACGTTATGACATCACAAAGTAGATCTAGACCACAGAGAGATAAACATGAAACCAAAAGTTAGGAAGTTACACAATCTTTTTAAGCTTAATAACCTATAGCACAGAAAAGACAACTTATTACAGGAACCTAAGTTGTTCAGACTCAGGTGCTGGTGTCCAATACAGGTGTGAATCTAGAGGTCGGCTTCACTATATAAATTTTATGAATTAGGGTACGGTTCGAGGTACAAATACAGGTGGGGGGATTCGGCTAAAACTAATTCAAATATCTAAAAATAGAGTTATATGTCGAGATTACAAAAATTTACAAGCTATTATGAGGTAAAAATATTGAACAAAAGGAGAATCTCAAAATATGATATAAGGAAAAAGGACTGAAATAGAATTTCATATATACTAAGTACTCCATTTTTACTTCAATTTCACCTTAGCTTTTGTTATTAATACAAAACTCACTACATCTACTCCAAATTTCTCCACTTATTTTGATCAAAGTATCCAAAATCAGTTGACCAAATGCAGTACGGATCTCACACCATGTCGTATCAACCTGGGTGCGGTATCGAAAGTGAAGAGTTCGATCAACTTAGGTAGGGACCATTGGGTTATTAAAAAGGTAAGGTCAAGTGAAAAAGTTAAGCAACCTCAACTTATTCACAAGCAAATGAAAGGAAAGTGAGAAAAGACACAGAGAATAATAAATACTCTATGTTTATATATAATTAAACCATTAATCTTTTGATATATGGTCAGGAAAAAGAAGACATTTCTAAAGCTTTATGAGTCCTTAAACTTTCTCCTCCTTTTGACTATATACATACAAGCAAACTTCACATAATGCTAACCAATTCGAATATTTATATAGAAATGCAAAAGAAAATGATCGAATTATAATCAAGTAAATAGAAATGCAAAAGGAAAAGTGAGGAAGTTGCCTTGGTGACGGGAGGAGCAGGCAAAGGAAGCTCTACAGGAACCCTAGCTTCCTCAGGCTTGAAGGAAGATTCCATAGTTGCAGAAACCAAAAATTTGGGGAAGTTTCTGTTATAATTGTGGGAGGAGGTGCGACCAATAACAAAACTAGAGATAAATGTGGAAGTGAGAGAGGGGTTTGAAGTGGGAAGGAGATTCCGGTGGCATAATCTTGTGATCCCTATGGCCTCCATTTTCAGATCTCTGCCTCTTAGTTGTTTTACGGAAGCCCACCTTCTATTTTCTTGACTTTTTCTTTTGCTTCTTTTGTCAGCAACAAGTTATTTTTCAATAATTCATTTTGTGAAATTATTATAACATGGATATGAGATTATTTATATTATTTTATTACTAAAGTATAAATGATAAAGATAAATAATTTCAGAGTTGTTTAGTGCCTCTTTAGGATTAAAGTTTGCTTGAATTATTATATATTATACCTCATGCCAAATAATTTATTTCAATACTCTTTGAATAATTAGTAAGGGCAAATTTCGCAAAGTGATGCTTCGATCATTTGTATTAAGAAAAATTTTCAAAACAACAACATTTTAGCATTAATAACACCTCTTAGCTACATTTTTAATATTTATTAAAAATACTATATTTAAGTTTGTTATTAGGCTGATTTTAAAAAAAAAAAATCTTTGCTTTAACTTGATAAAATACAACTAAGAAATAACAAATTGGAGAAAATTAGGAAAGAGAATCTTACAAATTAGGTATATATTATTAAAAATTTTCGGTACATACGTTAGAGAGATTAGGAGACCAAAAAAGGGTGCTTCTCTCCCTTCTTCCTCAACTCCATTAACGATTTTCAATTCTCCAATGATAATCCTCCTTCTTCGTAAAAGTCAATTCAATTGGTCATCGTTTTTATTGGAAGAAAGGAAATTGATATTAGTGAAAAATATTTTTGAATTAAAAACTGAATCAGTTGAAAATGATTGACGAGAAAAAATTCTTTATTTGGCACACAATTCCAATTTGACAGTTATAATCGATTAGATATTGAAAAACTCGTAACTTTGGTACAATTTGATTTGAATACAACAATTGATTTTGGTTCAAAAATTAAATGGTCTCAGTGGATTAGAATTTTTGAAAGATAATTGTTTGGACTACAAAATAAATTTGAATACAATTAAAATATTGTGATTAAAAGCTGTGAGTTTTGAAATACAAATTGTGACAATTACTGTTATTGAAAAAATTGCAAATTTTGATTGAAGACATTAAAGCTTCAAATGAGAGATTGAGTGAATGTTTTTGAATAATTTTTCATGTTAGTTGCTTGGAATACAAAAAGCTAGGGATTAAGGCTAGGGCCAAAGTTTCATCAGTAAAGCATATTTCAAGATTGTAAAGAAGTATTCTAAGAAGAGCTTTGAAAAAGTATATTTTGCATTAAAATGACAACACAAACAGTTTCTTAAAGGAAGTATGTTAAATATTAAAGAGCGCATATCTCTGATTTGAGAAAGCATAGTCAAGTTTTTAAAGTTTAGTTCTGAATCACTATTATTGAGCATAGGTCAAAGTATCACATTTTCAAAAAGAAAACAAATCCTAAAGTGGGACATCATATTCAATTATTGAGTTAGCTTAGGGTTTAGATTATTCAAACCTCAAAACTACGCCATCAACATACGATATGACTATGATCATATCATTGTCATTAATCCTAACAACGGATAAGATGAATCTTACAACGTGAACAAAAATTTTATCACCATGAAACTCACCTCATGATTATCGGTTAGAGAAACTTTCAAGAAAATTAAAATATGTTATTTCCAACATTCGTTATTATTGTATACAAATTCTCAGTTGTAAATCTTAGTTATTAAAGTACATGCATGCTCAATTGACTATTTTACAATTTATCTTCAGATTTAGAGGGAGTTTGAATTGACTTAAAAATTAATTAAATCTACTTTTAAGTCAGTTTTTGACTTCTGAAACTATTTGACTAATATAATATAACTTAACATAAGTAAAAAAGAATGACTTAAAATAAATTAGAAAGTGTTTGACAAGGTTAAAACTTACTTAAAATAAGTCAAAATCAAAAATAGGTCTCCCTTTACTTTTGATTTTTTTGACTTAAAAGTAATTTCAGTTTGACTTTTTATATTTGACTTAAAAATCTGCTTTTTTTAGAGACCTACTTTTTTATTACTTAAAAATCATTTCAGTTTAACTTAAAAGCTACTTCCTCTGTCCCTTTTTACTTGTCCACTTTTGAATTGACACACCTATTAAGAAAATAATCAATGACGTAGTGAGTTTATAATTTTACCTCTATTAATTATGAAGTGGGTGAAAAGTTCTATATTTTTAAAAGTAATTAGTCATTTAATTGTGGGTATAATAGGTAAAAAAATCGTTCTTTCTTGATTTATCAAAATAGACAAGTAATTAGGGACAACTATAAAAGAAATGAACAAGTAATTAGGGACTGAGGTAGTAGTTTTTTTAGCCAATACACATGGGTTCTTACCCTTTCAATTCAGTATATTTAGTTTAGCAAGTTATTTCTTTCAGCTATTTTACATGTACATTTCATGTATTAACGTCATGACAATATATCTGTATATCCAGTTTATTTAGAGTCTGTTAGACATTGAGTATTTAGGTAAACGTGAGTCTTATCCCGACGCTTATATTTAATTATTAATGGCTTCATAAACAAGTTATTTGAGTCATACTTTCGATCATTTACAAAACTATTTTATTTGAGACTTATTATTTATAGTGTTATTTGAGCTATATTTTCGTGAATTGTAATATTATTGGTTTAATTGAAATTTATATATATATGATATATGGTAAATTTTATTCTACACGTACTCTCATCATAAATTGATTTGGAGTTATTTGACTAAAATGTGCAGTAATTCAAATCATGTGCTTGTGAAAAAGTTAAAAACAATTTTTTGCAATATCATATATTAGTCTCTAGAATAATCTAGTCTTTTATTTGGGATAAATATTTTATAGAAATATCTAGTTGAATCTTACGATCTTAATTAACGATTTTGAGCTAGCAGAGATTTTGTTATTATAATTTTCATTTGCTATTCTCTACATGATATCAGATTATAGTCATGTGTTGGCTTTTGTGGTTGATTCAACTAGTTTGTCCAAATGGATTTTGATAGTGATGATAATGGACTAGGAATTGAGTTGTTGAATCAGTTCAATTATAAGGTATGAAAAACAGGTAGGGAATCATACCTTGTATACCATCAACAACATCCCATAAGGTATGTTCCATACATATTTTTTATACCTTAGTAATTGAATCAATTCAACAACTTCATCCACAATCCATTACCACGACCGTCTAAATTTATTTGGACAAATCAATTGAATCAATCACTAATCCGATCTTAAATAAAATTTAAAAGGTAATGTCTGACTATGAATTCTATATCATGATCAAATCATTAACTAAGATAAGAAGATTCAACTAAAGGAAGAGAAAGTTAAAAAGGAGAAAAAATATTTTGAATAAGAGAACTTTGTTTAGAAGAATACTCTTTGATTTTGGTTGTTCTTGGGTTACATATGTACAAAACCGTCCTCTATTTATAAATATTATATGTGGATGGTTTTAGATACTCTAAGATCTTGACCATTCTATGATATTCTACAAATATCATTTCAAGAATTTCTATAAGAAAATTCTAGTAACTCTATCTTCTACTCTAGAATATTTAAATATTTCGATAAGATGTTGATCCTAAATATAACACTAGACCATTCTAAAGATTAATGTGGATATATATATATATATATATATATATATATATATATATATATATCAAAAATCATCTTTAAACTTTTTCACAGTGCTAGTGTGATAGCTTGATATAATTAAACTTGATATTCATGCATATTGGACATTGTGGAAGTAAAAGAATAAATTATGGTAAAGCAGCATTCAAGATATTTTTAGTAAGAAGCTAGACTTTGGTCGTTATATTACGTTTCATTTTTATTGCATCCTACTGATTGAGTGGTGAAGTGTTGAGATGATTCATAGTATTGTGATTTAATTGGTACATTTGAGGTATATTGTGACATTATTAGTAGTGTAGCTGATGTGGGTGACTATATTGATTCATATATTGTGATACCATTAATGGTGTACCTGATTTTGGATGATATGTGCTTTATCGTGTACGTTACTATTATTCTATATTTTTGTAGTGATAATTTGTGATATGGTATACATTAATATTTCTTTTTTGTAAAAGATCAACTGATATAATTATATATTGTTGTCACTTTTAGAGAATCATCTATTAAAATTTGTTGAGTACACATATTTTCTGTACTCGCTCTGTACTTATTGCATGCATGCAGGATCTTGCAGTACTTCAGTTTGCTATGCGTTTCGAGACATGTTGTTGTTTAGAGTTCAGAATGAGCTATGTTTTTCTTCGATAGCACTAGATTCTAGAGACACCTTATTTATTTCCCATCTTATTTTTCTTCCAAACACTTGTATTAGCTCTTTCAAACTTGATTTGTATTCATACATGCTCCTGTACTAATGTCATTACTATTCCGCATAGTATATTGTTAAAAATGTTAATAAAGGAACACAATTCACCTACGAGAATAGAAGGTACCCTCACGACTTAACAGAATTTCATGTCGTAACAACTTAATAAATTGGCAGTAACAAGATTCTTTACACGTCAATATAAAAAAAAACCTAGAGAAATAGACAAGGTTTGCTGCATGACTTAGAAATTCATGTGTTTAGCAAATCGAAAAAGATCTAGAAATAAAGTCAAGGGTGTACATGACCAGATTGACTCTAATTTTTAATTATTAAACTAAATCATTTGTGTCAAATTTTTGAAATTTAAAAATAAAACAAAACATTTAAGCCTCAGGAGTTTTCAGGTTTTTCATCCTCAGATTTTTTCGAATTGATTCGGGTTTTTAAACCAAACAAAAACATTTGTGTCGAAATTTTAAATTTTTAAATCAAACCAGACGAATAAACCTCAAATTTTTTTTTGAATTTTGGATTCTTTTTGTAAAATATTTATACAAACATACAATTAATTATGCTCCAAATATAGGGTAAAACTTACCCGCATCGGGTGTTTACCAAGTCAATACATGTATGCCATGTGTTTAAATTTATTATTCATTTTACTTAACCATAATTAATTAATATGTATTTTACTTTATAAAATCACATAATAATGGAAATTGTATAGGCTTGGTATAAACACCCAGTGCGGGTAAGTTCTTTTCCCCAAAAATATCTTTAGTCCAATCAAAATACAACTATTAAGGTGTTTTTAAGAAAATAACACAAAATATGAGATGAGTGATGACACTAAAATATTCATTAAGAATAAATATTGGCAATTGATAAGTCATAATGAAAATGATCATAATTTAAAGAGAAAATGCATAAGTATCCCCCTCCCCAAACCTATGCGCAAAATCTCAGAGAAACACTCATACTATACTAAGGTCCTATTACCCGCTGATTTTATTTAATAAATAATTTTCTATCCCTTTTCAACCTACATGTCACTATATTTTGGGCCCAGTGCGTGCTGACAATTTTTTCAAACTTCCCGGTTGATTTTGTCATGTAGGCTGAAAAAGGGTAGAAAATTATTAATAGAATAAGTTCAGGAATGTAATAGGAACTTAGTAAAGTATAAGTGTGTCATTGGGATTTCGGATATAGGTGGGGGGGGGGTACTTATGCATTTTTCCTAATTTAAAAGTACTAAATCATGCTAAAATAAGTCTAACAAGAAAATAAAACTCTCTTTAAACTTCGAGTATCATTTGGGGGAGTTTGTAGGTAAAACCATTACAACAAAAACAACTTTTAGCACAAAATATGAATAGAGCAAAGAAGATGAAGGAAAACACCAATCTTGCTCCACTCCCAACTGAGCCTCCACCAGATCCTCTAGACAAATTCCCATCCTACATGGATATGCTGAGAGATCAGATACTAATTCCTAATTCCACTGAGGATCTACATATGCCTTCCTTAAATACACTAGATGCAACAGTTACTGTTTCCAAGGGAGCAATTAATCTAACAGAAGACGGAACTACTGTTATCACACTTTTCGATGAAGACAAGCAGAGAATGTATGCACCTTGGGAATTCTCTATTATTGTCAAGTTACTGGGAAAAGAATCATCCATCAGTACCTAAAATCCAAATTACAATCCCTGTGGAAACTAAGGGAACAATTTCCACAGATAGACTTAAGCTATGATTACTATATAGTGAAACTAGGATCCAGAGGTAAGCCATGATAAGATCCTGCTCAATGGACCTTGGTTCATCAAGGACACTTCCTCTGGGTACAAAAATGGGTCCCAAACTTCATGCCTAATACATCAACTCATAATAGCTCTGATGTTTGGATCCACCTTATTCTTGAAAAATTCGGTAGCTCTAATCGTACTTTACTAAAAGTTGATACATGCACGAGTGCTACTCTAAGGGAACACTACTAAAAAAAGACCAAAAAAAGACCTAAAAATGGAGACCTCAAAAATAGGTCAATAATAAGAGACCTCATGAGGTCGCTATTTAAATTAATATCTTTTAATTTTTTTTTAATGTAGGAGAGACCTCGTGAGGTCAATTTAATGAATAATTATTTTTTTTACCTAACTTATTTAAAAATTTTAAATTTTTAATCTAATTCTCATAAAATTGGAGACCTCATGAGGTCTCTTATTTTTTAACTATTCAATTAAATTAAATTATTATTTTTAATTTAACAAGTAGAGACCTCATGTTAAATTAAAAATAATAATTTAATTGAATTAAATATTTAAAAAGTTAGAGACCTCATGAGGTCTCTTAGACAAAATCAAAAACCTAGACAAAATTAAAATAACTCTTTCTTTCCTCTCTTAATTTTTTTACACGACTGCGTGCCTCTCTCTCTTTCTCACTGACCTCGTCGACGGCGCGCCTCTCTCTTTCTCGTCGTCGATCGTCGACCGCCTCTCTCTTTCTCGTCGTCGATCGTCGACCGCCTCTCTCTTTCTCGTCGTCGACCGCCTCTCTCTTTCTCTCTCTCTGTCAACCCTCTCGCATTGCTATCTCTGTCGACCCTCGCTATCTCTGTCGACCCTCGCTCTCTGTCAACCTTCTCGCTCCGCCGCCAGGTCTCGCGCCACCAGCTCGCCTGCCGCCGCCAGCTCGCCAGCCGCCGCCAGTTGCAGCGCCTCAGCAGTAGCACAACGCCTCCATCTCCAGGTAAATATCTTCGCATAGTACAACTACTTATGGTTTCACGTGAATTAGGACTTTTTCTTGTTATTTGGACACCACAAGGCATTGGGCATCCTAAGAGCTTGTGACTAGAAATTGTGACACTTCCAATTGGATTGTTGAAACTAATCATCTGTTCAAAATTAAAAAGAATAATTAGATCGTCGCTTTGAGAATTACTAAAGATATTGTAATTAGAAGTAAGAAGCAATTGAAACTCACATTGTTTACAAAAGGGGTCATAAGACCACATAGTGCTGCATCACAGTGGATGTAAAATCGATCTTGTGAATAGCCACATTCTTTGAGTGTTTCAAGAATAACATCAACATCATCAATAGCTCCTTTGAACATAGTTCCTATAGTTAAAAGAACCATCAATGGAAAAGACTTAAGATGACTGGGTTTGATCACATAAAAGAAAAAATGAAAAATGATAAGAGGTTGGAGTATACGTATATACCAATTGTGACATTTATAATAGCTGGTTTGTCCTTATTTTGAAGTAACTTTGCTCTTAAATCTGAATAGTCCATCTCTCCATTTACTGATGTGTTGATTGTTTCTGAATCCATTCTATACATTCTTGCAGCTTTGAATACTGATATAATAATTAGCTTTAAATTTTAGATATAATTATTTGTTAAGCATAAGTACCAACACTAGTTGATCCTATTGATGACAAAATTGATTTTCTTTTGAAAATCAATTTGTGTCCATCTAGTGTTGACACTTAGCTTTAAATTTTAGATATAATTATTTGTTAAGCATAAGTACCAACACTAGTTGATCCTATTGATGACAAAATTGATTTTCTTTGAAAATCAATTTGTGTCCATCTAGTGTTGACACTTAGCTTTAAATTTTAGATATAATTATTTGTTAAGCATAAGTATCAAAGAACTCTATAGAGATGCTTATCCTACATGGGGCAAGTTCCCTAGCAATCTTCAAGAGACAAATATTTTTGGAGTTCAGGGTATATTCGAATTTATTTGTTTAACACTATTAAAATACTTGTCTTCATTAATACTTATCAAATAAAATAATTTATGCTATGATTGTAGAAAAAATGTGCTTGGCGTCCGGAACATGAGGCCAAAATTTGTGCAAACTTTCACAAGAAAGCTACGCATACTCTTGCTAGTTTGTTTAATAAAGCTCGTAGAGATAATAGCAAACCTAGCTGGGTTCTATCGGAGGATTGGGCAAAATTACTCGTGCATTGGAAATATGATCCAAGATTTAATCAGATGAGTGAGATCGGTAAAAAGGCAAGATCATCTACTAAGGGTGGTTCTCTATACACAAGTGGGGCTCAAAGTCAAGGAAGTGTGAGGAGGAAATTGGTGTGTATCATTTTTCTTTGTTTTATATATTTTATGTATTAATATTTAATTACTCTTGATTATAACTTTATTATTTTATGTAGGAAAAGGAACTAGGAAGACCGATAACTCAAGCTGAGGCATTTAAGGCAACACACATTAGAAAGAAGAAAAATCCTGAAGATCCAGACGGTGTGGGTTGAACCGTGAGCTGAAGTGACCTATGTAAGCCTCTAATTTTAAAAAATAATTACTTATTTTCTAAATTTATATTCTCATATGATAACATTCAATTTAGAATCGATATCTTCAAGCTTTGGAGGATTTACAACAAACTCTGCCTGAAGAAAATCGAGGTATGTCACTTACTCAAGAACAGGATGAGAGAGTTTGGTTAGACTTGACTTGTGGGCCGAGTAGATATGGGTATGGGAATGCCGCATAAAACCTTTCGTGAATTTTCTTCTGAGTTTGAAGGCCTAAATAGTTCAAATCATGATGAATCAATGAAGAAAAATTTGGCTATGGAGAAAAACATTGTTGAGCTATCTAGCCAAGCCGAAGAATCACGGGCTAGGAAAAGGCGGTTGGAGTTACAGTTTGCGGGTCTTAAGGCTCAATTCGATGCATTACTTGCCTCAGGAGGGATTCCCCCTTGTTCTGGTGATGTCACTTTCCCTCCTCAATCTCAACCTACTCAATATCCAATGTATGGTGAACAAAGAAATATGACCCATGAGAGTAGTGATGAAGAAAGTGATGAAGAAAGTGATGATTATGTGGCAAACACACTACCACATTAGTGATTTTTAGACTTGTGATATCTAACTTATGGATTATTTTGTTAACAATTTTGTGATGGGAATTATTTGTTTTGTGAATACATGATAACGTTGGAATGTATTATATAACTTATGGATATCATGATTTTTGTTTAATATATAATTATGTTGAAGTGAGTTGCAATTGAGTTGATAAGAGAATATTTAGTAAATGTATTGCTTCAATTGAGTTTTTTGAAGCTCTTTGAGTTTGATTTGGGTACTCAATTAAAATGACAGGTGATGAGAAGCCGCAGAAATAATAATTTTCTGCCAGTTTTTTTCCAGAAAAAGAGACCTCATGAGGTCTCTATTTTGCATTAATTTTCCAGATATTTCATAATAGAGACCTCATGAGGTCTCTTTTTTGCATTAATTTTTCCAGATATTTCACATTAGAGACCTCATGAGGTCTCTATTTACCATTTTCTATTTTATAAATGCAGAAAAGAGACCTCATGAGGTCTCCCTTTTGTATTAATTTTTTCAGCTATTTCAAAATGGAGACCTCATCAGGTCTCTAATTAACATTTTATAAATGAGGTCTCTTTTCTGCATTATATTTTCCGTAAATATCATAATGGAGACCTCGTGAGGTCTCCAAATATAAATGCATAGAATAATAATATAAAATTAAATTAAATAATATCTTAGCGACCTAATGAGGTCTCTTAATTAAAATATAAAATTAAATAATATTATAAAATTGTGACCTCATGAGGTCTCTATATAAAAAATATAAAATTAAATTAAATAATACAATAGTGACCTCGTGAGGTCTCTTTTTTGTAAAAAAATCAGATTATTTGTTGGTGACCTCGTGAGGTCTCCGTTTGGCGACCTAACGGAGACCTCATGAGGTGTCTGTAAAAAAGTGACCTGCATTTTACTGACCTAGCGTTGAGGTCTCTTTTTTCCGAAAAGAGACCTCGTGAGGTCTCTTTTCTAGGTCTCTTTTTGACCTTTTTTTAGTAGTGGAAACATATGTCAGGCTCTGTGTCGAGATAGACTTACATCAACCTGTTAAGACACAAGTTGTCATTAGAAGTCATAACCAAGTTATTGAATATGAATTGCAAATTTATTATGTACACAATGTGGCAAGATTGGTCTTCAGCATCAACATGATTGCTCCCCAGATCAAACACCAAATGTGGTCCAACCTGATAATGCTAATGTGGGGGGGAAAAGTCAAACGTAGAAGAAATGACATACAATCCAATATAATCGGAATCTTATGTCAATCAGAAGAATACAACTTCCCTAAAAGAAGTCAGGGGATCTTCTCCTCAAGTAAGATGCATAGTATCAGGTATAAAAATGTTAGTAAGTTCCCTCTGAATATCGACCATCCGAATCTTAGAACTCATAACTAACTTTAAATATCATAAAATCCCAAATCGAATTTCTCCCCACTCCCCTCCTGTGTCCCCTAATCAATTTGCTTCTCTTTCTATCTTGGATTAGATGGAGATCACCACCCCTGCTAACAACGATGTCCAATCCCCCATCCTTCTCTTCCCAGCGTCACGACAAGTGTGCAGGATACGTGTAATATATACAAGTATACTATTAGTACTAAGTTTTAATCTCAAACAGTAGATACAAGGTGGTAAAAAATGATTACCTACTAATAATAACAGCTATAAGCAAATTGGGATAGACAACACTTCTTCTAACACTAAATAGGTGACCCATCCCACTGAAATATTGGAGAAATGTTTTAACATGTAAATTCACCCTACGCCTAGCCCCCCTTCTACTATACCTCTTCGTGTTCCTACCAATTTCATGCAAAATATATCTCAAGAAATATACACTCAATCATCAATCCTACTTCAACACTCAAACAAGCTTAAACATACGGAGGCTCCCCTCCGTTCAAATGAGCTCAAGAAATTCATTCTCCTATCGAAAAAAAGAAGAGCAAACTCTTACCACTTTTCTAAAGAATGGAGAACTTCGACCCTCTTCATCCCCCTCCATTGCAGAACCTTCTGTTGGTCTTCGTGACAAATGTCTTACAACCAGATCAACCCCCATTGTCTTGGATCGAACAGGGGCAAACAAACCAGACAATCTTCTTCAAAATGGATCTAAATGGATAGGAGGTGACAATAGTATTACAGAAACCAAACTTCATACAGAAACCCGTTATTGAAGGTATAAAGTTGGCAATATACAATTTTCTCAACCACCAGTGGGTCAACAACATAATAAATCCACTAGCTCCTGTAGTAGCCCGCAGATCCACCACAACATGTAACACCTTTGGGGAATGTCATCTCACTTCAATCCCATTCTGAATCCAACTACAAATCAGAACCTCCCGTTCTTCAGTCCTTTAGAATTAACACTGGGAAAATCTCTGTTCTTCCCATGGATTTCTTCAGAATCCTCCGATGTCAGTCCCTTCTCAAACCCCAACTCCATGGGAGTCCTCACTAGAGAACATAAACATGGGACGAGACGGGGAACCTTACAAGCCCTCATTCACAGAAATAGCAAACTTAAGAGAAGTGACCCTTATGTTGTTCCCGAAAACGGAGGATAAGAAGTACATTTTAAAATGCCCACAAACACCGAAGAAATGCTCCATCGACATTTGTCCCCCGATCAACAGATAAGCGGCAAAACTGGCAGTGGTAGTGACCCCAACTATCAGAACAATGTCACAGTGGGCCAGGACGAAGAAACGCGATACATCTACCCATTCATAATGAATAGGAATCCTTCTCTAATTATTTGGAATATTCGAGGGGATAACAATGTGGCTTTTAGAAGATATATGAAGGATCTTCTAAATACCTATACTCCTTGTATCTTGGCATAGCTTGAAACTAAAACGGAAAGTCACGAGCTTATTAAGAATGAATACAACTTTAATGGTACAGTTGAATCTCCTGCAACTGGTCGCTCTGGGGGATATTGTTATTTTGTGACATGAGGATCAAGGTAAGATCACTGGCATGAGGCAGGCCTTTCAGGAACTACATGTGATGGTTTGTTGACACCCAATTTCGGCTCTTCATAATTATTATTATGTTACGAGATTTTATAAGAGTACGAAAATTCATCTCATAAATGCTATTTCTTATTAATTTTTTTTAAAAAATATATCATACTACTTACTTTCTCATTTTTTTAATAAGAAACAAATGTCGTTCCTAAAAAGAGAATCTATTTTTTGTTCAATATAATTTCTTTTGTCACAATAGATGTTTTTCGTACATTTGTTTAAAATTAGAAATCTTAATCAATTATTGAGTCACTAATTTCTATTAATTTAATTTTAAGAGTGACTAATTTTATCAAATAAGATAATCTTGTAACATAATTATTTTTTATTTAATAAATTATGACTATTTAATAAAGAAGATGTTATGATTTAAATTATTTTAATATGAGCAATTTCGGCAATCTATCTCTTCTTTAGCCAGCCAATCTGTGTATGCCACGTAGGCATGCATATGGATTGTGATTCTTTAGATTAAGTAGGCGTTTGACCATGCGATACTATATCACGATATGATATCGTGAGATGGAATCAGCGTTTGGATATGCGATTTCACGCTGATTCAATCTCATGATTCCGTATCCTGAGATGTGATTCCATATTCTCCAAAAAGCATGATATGGAATTACATGGTATTCCATATCATGATTTGAGATATTTTAATCCAAAAATTGATTAACAAGTTTATATTTTGTTAAAATAACCCCACATTTATGTCACTAACCATTTATTTCATATGTGAATAAAATTTATAATCATATCATTACTCTTTAAAATTTATTATTCTCACCAACATATAGTCACTTTAACTCACCCACCGATTGTTAAAGTGATGATATGTTTATTGTCTATAAACATGAAAATATAGTTGCGGATGTATTGACCAACAAATGGCTCAATATAACAATGTTGGTTAGTCTTCTTAGTCATATGATCGAGAAATGCAAGTTCAACTTGAGGAAATTGTTCGTACTATGTGGGAGGATTGTATTAAAAATTAGTACACTACAATTAATGTTTAATTTTTTTTATTAAATTAAAGCTAGATGAAACAATTACTTAAATGGAGAATAAATGCCTTTTTATAATTTATTATTCGATTTTATAATTTTTCATTTGATAAGATTGAATAAACAATTAGGACCATTTTAATAATTTTACAACTTATGAAACTTTTATGTTTATGAGAAAATATACAACACAAAAATTTTATATCGGATATTCAAACAAAACTTAAATTTCAATCTTATAAATCCATATCATGGTACATATCGCATAGCCCTAAATCTCGACCCTACAATTCAATCTAATGGTCGGAATTAATTGAAGAGAACAAATGCCTTTTGAACCATGACAGATCTCAAAAGCCACACCACCGCCGCTGCTATAGCTGAAAAGGTGGAGAATGTGAAGGGCCATCGGATTTGGGATTGGAATCCTGATGGTTGTGAGATTGGAATATGTGGTCCTCATTGAAAGGCATTCGAAAAGAGATTCAGATTCAAAAGACATCCAAACAGAATTCCAGGAGAAAAACTATCCTTGTATTTTGAATTTGAATCCAACTCCGAAGTTGGATTCTTGTTTGCTGCTCTCGCGAAGGTAAACTGCCTCGCTTTAATATATATTTTTCCTCAAACTCCAGTTAGTCGATTTTGCTGATTTTTGATCATTTCAATTTGATATGATGTTTAGATTTTGTCTTTAAGTTAGTAAAGTTGAGCTTTCTGTTTAGCAATGATACACATATCTCTCATATTATCTTTGTATTTTTGAATATATATTAAGGTGTGTGTATGAATGACTGAGAATGTTAAGTTTTCTCGACTGCAATATAACCTAATCTAGTTCTGAAAAGTCATAGCTTACTTTCTAATTTTGAACGTTTCATTCCCTCTATTTGTTGGTTCAAGGACTGCTGTTTGACATTTTAACTTTGAAATCTTATCCTCTAAGTTGTCCCGAAGTCTTGGTCACCTGGTTTAACATTCTCGTTCATTTATACTTTTCTGTCACCATGATCTCCTATCCTAAAACATGTTTTCTCGAAGCATTTGGACTATCAATTTGGCCATTTGTGTTTTCAAAATTTTGTGAGTTTTGATTTGACTGGTCTAAAATGCATACACTCTTTCGTGTCCTGCTTCTTTTCCTTTCTAATGCTTCTCTCGATTTCTAGTGGTGGTGCAACTCATGATAACTCTTATAGAATTGCATTTTCAGTTTATCTTTTCATGTCTCTATATAACATTGCAACTTTGAAAAAATATTCAGAAGCATGTCCCTGGTTACATTCTATCTATAACCTATTAGGAAGTGCTTATCGATTAAATTTTTGCGCTTTATTTTGGATATATATATACAGAAGCATGTCCCTGGTTGTATAAGTTACATGAAGTATGAAATTCTTTTAAGCATGATCTGCTTCCAATTGCGAAATCAGAAATATATGTACATCTTCTTGGTTATCCGATTATATCTTTTGGTATATTCGTTGGTATGGTTGGCGACCTTCAGGAAAGGGACTCCCAAAGGGCATAAAACACTATGAATGCTTGCTGTCCAGTTGCTCTCTCTCTCATTTCCATTCTTTTTGAAAGTTGACAAGTTTCTCGCTTTGTTCTTTCATCTCGGCTATGTAATTACAAGGATTGAACTATATATTGGATTCACCAGCTTAATACATGCTAAGTGTGTTTACACAATGCAGTTCGATACCAACACAGTAATTCAATGATTTTAGTCTATTATGTTTGATTAAGTAGTATGGTCATGGAATTTTTCTCTCCTAAATGACAACTTGAATATTTACTCAATTTACTTGCTGTCAACAATTCTAAAATGCAAAGTTCAATCTCACATTTAGTCAAACAAAATTGTTTACCCATAATAAATAATGTATAATCCTTTTTTTATAATTATATTTGTACTTTAAATTCTCATATAACATCACCACTGCATAGTACATACCGAAATAATCCTCTCTTGTTCCTTAGAAGCTACTGACATTACTATTGTTTATATTTCTTTTGTGGGACTCAAAGAAATTTTGATGTGATGGAAGATACATTCATAAGTTCTGTATTCCAAATTTTACTTGCAAGTCTAACCAAGAAATGTTAATCTTTAAAAGATCTCGGTTAACAAATGGCTTCATGAATTTGGGATGATTTTGTGGCTCATCTGTTAATTCATTTTTTTTTGTTTTTTCTTTTGTCACATGTACACTTGGGGAGTTAATATGACTCTATCTCTGTACAAATCAGAGAAGAGACCAATAGCCGCATAAGCTCATGTCTTGCAGCCCATTTTCGCGTCAATCGTTTCACGTGTTTTATATATGTTGCTATTTTGAGTAACATTTTTCATATTAATGTTTTGTATTTATGCGCTTTATGTTTTGGGCTTATAGAAACCAATTGAGATCGATAGTAAGACAGACATAGTCGTTCATCTCCCATCGCTCTAGATATTGGACTTAGTATGTCCATGTGGCTTAGATAACGCTTTCTAATGAGGTTTTCATATCTTTTGTCGTAAATGCTTAAATTTTAAGAAAAAATGAACTCGGGAATGACTTCTTTTTACTTTTTTTTTTTTAAAGAGAATGTATCCATTTAAAGATTTTCTTTTAAAAAAGTAAGACTTGATAACGATTTTTTTAACAACTTAATGATGCAGAGTTTTAGCTTTAAAATTGCAGGTTTAAGTGTAAAAAAATACAGCTTCAGCATGCTCTATCAAGCAGATATCTTAGAACTTAAAAATGCAGATTTTTATGATTACATATACCACTTTCTTGACAGCTTAAGAGTTCTATATTGAGTTTAAAAAATGCAGCTTTGTGAGCTCAAAAAGGTGCAGATTTTGTGCTCAAAATATACAAAGTTTGAGTGTAAAAAGCTCAAAACACTGCCCTTTTGTGGGCTTTGCAAAAATACAAAATTTAAGCTTGAAAATACAGATTTTAAAAGATAAAATTGCAGCTTTTAACAGCTTCATTTCTGCAATTTTAAAGTGAAAAATGTGCAACTTTTCTTAATTTAAAACCTATTTCTCTTAGGGCCTAAAAGTGCATATTTTGAAACAAAAAACATTAGAATGAGAGATTAAAAGTGTACTATTTCTAAAAGTGCAAAACAAGTACTCCCTCCGTTTAAAGAAACTTAAAGAATGTTCTAGTTTGACTTGACACGGAGTTTAAGAATATACAAAAGACTTTTGAATTTCGTGAACCTAAATTAAAGTTAGGTCAAATGTATAAAATTGCCCTTTGATTTTTGTGAATTTAAATATGTCACATAAAAAACTAAAATTTAAATGTTTCCAAAAAAAGAAAAAAGGTTTTTGAAAAAGACAAAAAGAATGGAGGTTATTCTTTTTGAAACGGATGAATATAAAAGTTTGTTATAATTAAAGTATGATCTTTTATTCTTAAAAGGAAAGTATGGCTTAAGTTGTTCGCTCCAAGTTAGACCCATTTATATTCTTGACATCACCCTTTATGAAAATATATATTTGTCATGGATTTTTTTAATTAGACATTACTAAAACATTTTAATTTATTAACATTAGGGGTGTGTAAAAATCGAACCGTTAAAATGTTATTGGGTTATTGTTATTAGGTTATTGGGTTATTGGGTTTTTAATGGGTTTAGAAAAAATAATTAGGAAAAATAACTTAAATACACAACTATAAGTTTTATATTCTCTAATTTTCCCTTTTTTTTAAATATTACATAATTCTTTTTTTTTTTTTTTAGTAGAAGTGTATAGATACATAAAATTCTCTCCTATAATACACAATCCCCCGATATAATGCCTATTTTTTCTCCACTAAAACACTCAATCTTCTAAATCAGTTTTTGGATTTTGAATTATTAATTTTAATTAAAACACCCAATTTTAAAATTTTGAATTTCAAAATTCAAAAACTTTGAAATTTCAAAAAACTGCACAATTTCTCTCCCGTTCTTATTGTTCTTCTTACTCCATCACGTCTTCAATTCTTCTTACTCCATCATCGATTATTACTAGTTTGTCAGGTTCAGAAAATAATCGTGTTTCACATACAAAGTCTCCAGCTTTCGTCAAAATCATCGGTTTTTCTTTTCTATGCCTTTCCATTTTCATCATTCTCAGAAGTTTTTCATCAGATATCACTACTGTCTCTAACCCCACAACCCCTTCTCTAGAATTTCCTATGTCTTTCATTTCCACATCCATTGCCGGTGACGATCCATCTCCGCCGCCGTCGGCGACGACAGCTGTTCTGAAGCCCCGATAGTAGGGGATGGAGAGGACGGGGATTGTTGATGAGAATGGGGCAGAAAATAGAAAAACGTCTTTGCATGATCCTATGAATCTTCAGAAGGATTCAAACAAAGACTCTGGCGAAACATCAAAATCAAAGGTTGTCAAAATACAACAAAAAAAAGAAAAAAGAAGCAGCAAACATTGTTGTCAGGCCTACATTATTTCGGGTTTGTATTTTTATACTTATTTTAAAATTGTTGTTGAAATTAGTAAAAATTTTAAGGAATCCAATATGTATCAAAAAATTATGAAAATTATTATCATGTATCAGACAATAGGTTTAATAAATAAGTACTAAGTGGATTATAATGTTTAGTCTATGATTTGATACATGAATTAGATGTATATTATATGATTTCCTATGTATCAAGGGTTTTTGAAATTTTTTATCATGTATTAGTGATTAATTTCAATAACTGCGCCATCAAGTGTGCTTGCTGATACATTTTGAATCAGTGTGTATAGTGTTTTAGACGATGCATTGATACATGAAGTGTTTGCTGATACATTTCATAAATCAGTGTGCTTGCTGATACATTTTGAATCCATCAAGTGTGTATAGTGTTTTAGACGATGCATTGATACATTTTGAATCCATCAAGTGTGCTTGCTGATACATTTTGAATCAGTGTGTATAATGTTTTAGACGATGCATTGATATATGAATTTGTTGTGTATCGAAGTTTAACAGATTGTTCATAAAAAATGTATTCAAAATAGATGATATAATCTTTGATTTTCAAAATTTGAAATTAATATCCAATTACGTGCTGATTTAATGCTGATAAATGATCTGTTACCGTAAATTAAGCTATTTTAGTTAACAAGTTTAAATGTACCGTTTCCCCCCCCATTTTTTTCTTAACAGTTTAAACTTACCATGTATCATTTACCATGTATCACTAGAGTCTAAAGTATCATGACACAAAAATTTTAAGGGATTTTTAGTAAATACTAAATTTGTCGGGACAAAGTGTAATTATTGAATTACACTATGAGATACCTTAAATTTTTACTAATAATTATTGGGTTATTGGGTCGGTTTCGATTTTTCCTATTGGGATATTGGGTAAACCATTAACCCAATAAGACTATAGTTATTTACTACTTTACCCTTCCTCAATATTAAATATACATAATTTAATACATAAATAGATTCAATATTAGCTTTTCAGGCTATGTGATTTTTTGGTTAGGAAATTGGTGAGAACTTTGTTCATTATCTGGTGGATCAAGCAACTGTTCAAGATTGTCTCATTGAAATATTTTATTTTAGTTTTAATTCTAGTTTGTAATTGTAGGCGATAGCTTTTGCAAGTTTGTGAATGTTAGTAATTTGATCAACATTCAAAGTTTTCTATTATGTTTTGACGGTAAGTTGGTTACATGTAATTATAACATACGTACTATCATATATTATTTGATCGACATTTCTTATTGGGTTAAACAAAATCGAACCGATAATATCAAAAACCGATAAATCGATAATAAATTTCTTATTGGTTTGTTATTGGGTTAGCATATTTTAAAACCGAAAACCGATAAACCGTACCGATTATATGTAAAACCGAACCGAGCCGACCGATGCACACCCCTAATTAACATATTATTTTCAAGGATTTAGATATGTCGATGGGTTCACAATACGAGATACATAAATATCTATACAAATAAAGGTATACATTTATATTTTCTTAATACGTGACTTATTATTTTGTTACACTTTATATTATTTCTCATATCTACTATCACTTTTACAAATATTTCCTTTTTATTGTAACTTATAAATCTTAACACTTTAATATATACATTATTTTAACTACATATTTACGCCCAACTACTACCTTACTTTTATTACACATCTTAATAAGGCAACTAATTTTCGCAAATTCAGCATCTATATATTTTAAGGATAAGTTTATTATGATACATCTATATATATATTTTCACAGATGAATTTTTTTTATATATTTAAGTATATTTATTTATTTTTATAATATGATTAAAAAATACTACTATTAAATCTATTTAATAAAACATATATATGTCGTACCCTGTGTTTTACTTTTTAAACTTACTAATTAACTTAGTTTTTTTTCTTCTAAAAAGCAAATAAATAAACAAGCTTTCCAAATCATATTTTTCTAAATTGAGTTTAAGGACTATCTTCGGAGAGGCTCTGACGGGTGTTTAACACCTTTCCCTCGAGTAATCAAAGCCTTACTCAGAATCTTAGTGGTTTCGCAAATCAAAAACAAAGTTTACATAAAAAAATGGTTTTTCTAATATTTTTCTTAAAATTTAGTTGGCGACTCTAAGACAAAAACAAAGATATTTTTCCAAAAAAAATCAGAATGTCAACCATATTATGTTGTGAACTGTTTAGACTAGTTCAAAAAATAGGGGTGTGACATGGTTGAGGTACTCCCTAATAAACCTCCTTGGCTTATGTCTATTATCTATGCTAACCCTAACTACATATGTGCTATGAATTTTTTTAATTAGATATTACTAAAACATTTAAATTTCTTAACATGCTATTTTCAAGGATTTAGATATGTCGACGGTTTCACAATACAAGATACATATATATATATATATATATATATATATATATATATATATATATACACACACACAC